GATCGAGTATATTATTTATAAGTGTAAATAAGATTACGTGGTAATTTTAAATTTTAATTTAAAAGAATGCAAATAGAATGGAATTTTCATATCTCAATTATGCCGTTTCGCGTAATCGTTCTTGGCTTGGGGGGAGGAAAAAGAAATAATAAAAAAAATTCCGTAACGAAGTTTAAAGTCCTACTGAGAAATTAATTACATATATCTGTTTTATATATACGTACATAACAGATTAATAACATATAATTAAGAGATCAATAATAGTCTAGCACGTTAAAACGTTCGCATTCATTTCATTTTATCTTGTTACACGTACATACGTCATATCTACAGTTGTAAGATGGAAAAAATATCTTCGTTTAATTCAATTCGTCTCAAACTAAACTTACTCTTCAAAATTACGTACTACATATTACTGATCGATCAAAAATTCACCAAATTTAACCAAAACTTAGTATACAAAGATCTATCAAATTACGCGTTGACATCTTCAATTTTTAATCGACCGACAAAATCGTCAAAAAATGGTAGAAACTACTGAATTACTTCAACGACTAAACTCGAACAATCATATCGAACAAACGTCTGCCCGCTACGTAATTCAGAGATATCAAATCGTCTCTCGTGGGCGTATCGTCGCAAATTTCACGGACACTGGCATTACAGAGAATCGTGCTACACCTATAGACACGGAAACCTACGAATACACCCCCTCCTCCTCCGTCAAAACAATATCTTTTCTCCCGACGATAAGACCGATACCAAAATACAATCGCAATCTAGTCGATCGATAAACCGATGCATAGATAATCGATATCACGACCAAGCCCTCGATAATTTAGCTTGCAAGTCCTTCAGAAATCCGGTCGGACGTGATCTGGAACGTGGACAAAAGAGGAGCGGTCGCTCGATTTCTTGTTGATCGTCGACGACGATCGAGACTGTCGACTCAAAGATCTTCTGGGAATACCGGTTCCACGTTTACCACCGAAACGGTTCTCTTCTCTTGTCGAGAAAAAGAAAAGAGAAAGAGAGAGAGGATATTTTTTCCGCTCGCGACATCTCGAAGAGGCGAAGAGAGTTATCTTCGAGCCGCGTTGTCGCCATTTTGCATTACGTATAGTTGAGTCGAGGAAGAGTTAATTTATTAAGAGTTAACTCGTGCTTCCAAGTCTTTTTGCTCGTTGTTCGGCAAATGTTGTTAGATTTGAAGCGGCTTGAGTTCGACAGCTGATAATGAGGCTGTCGTTTATTAATGGGGAACGCGTTAATGTATCTTTTGATTACGAAAGTTGCGAGCGAGCTGGAAATTGAGAATATGGGCGGAAATTTCTCTCTCTCTCTCTCTCCCTCTCTCTCCCTTCTTTCCAGTTAATCACTGGATTCTTTGACGTTGAAACGTTTTTGACGTATCGTTGTAATCTTTTCGTTTCAAAAAGAAGTTCAGGATTCGTTAACTCGTTACTCATCATTGTGCGAAGATGGAAAATGAAAGATTTTTTCTTTTTTTGTTCCAGAAAAAATGGAGAGAATGGAATTTTGTCAATGAAACGGAGAGAGAAGGAAGATTATTTCGTCTCTCTACTTTTCTGCGAATTAAAATTATGCAGAGGAAGGAGATTTTTAATTTTTGAGAAATAGAAGAAGGAGATATGGAATATACGTATTTTTCTTACTTCGATTTTACACATTTTGTGAAACGTGTAACGATATCCGCGTAAAACTTGGATTCGAGAAAATAAATTGAAATATATTTTCACGAATATAATAATTTGTTATATAATGATTAAATCTTCGTCTGCACTGTATGCAAAATTATGCCTGTTCAATTACAAATACACGTATTCTCGTTACTCGTTTCGACTTTTTAATTATTCGACAGTGTGATTAATATACTTTATACTTAATTATTCGAATTTACAATATCTTTACTGTCAAATCTTCAGCACGAATATACACTATACGAAATGAAAAAATCCTAGAAACTTACTCACATGGAGTGCGTAAAAAAAAAAAAAAATCTCCATCCATATTTCTTTCTAATTTCTTCTAAAGAATATACGATATATATTCCATAATATTCCCTCGAAAAATGTTAATCTATTATTAATTCCATAGTTTACATTACAAAAAAATACCGTAGTTGTAAATACTTCTTCCCAGACAGACAAATGGAATTTTTCGACTACATTTTACGTGAGTATCTTCCTCTCTCTCTCTCTCTCTCTCTTCGTTAACCGTTCATTAACCATTTAATTTCCTCCTCCCCTCCTAATATTAGGTTATCAATGTTACGCGCTGACGATGCGCAGTATTTTCTTTTTTTTTTTTTTTCGTGTCGATGAAGCCAGCCGCGCGTTAATCTCGAGATAAAACGCGACAGATAATAATAGGCGCTAATCAATGCAAGAAAACACGCGGATTCGTATTTATTATTCGCGGTGATCGGTTGTAATGAGTATTGCCGGTGTGACTCACGAAAGTATTCGAACATTATCTTATTAGGAAAATTTTTATTTCGATAGGAAGTTCGCGCGGAATATAATGGATTTTTATATATGGAGGAGGATTATTTCTTCGGTGAAGAAAATATTAATCGAGGAAAGTTAATCCTTTAACGTTTGTTTCGAATGGAATTTTGCTTGAAAATATTTCTTAATGCAACAAATTGTATTTTTATTCAAATGAAAATAAAATATTATTAGGATAATTGGACATACGTAATTACTAACTTTCTATCCGAAAGAAGAAAATTAATATTGATTTTTCCAGCAAGAGTCGTGTATTTTTAATAGGTTGCAAAAAACAAAAGATATGAAATCAATCAATTCGAACATTTCACGTGTTTATATGTTTATTTTGTTTTATACGAGATTGCAAAGTTATATTTAGAAAAAAAAAATGAAAGAAACGTTAATAAAGTTCAAGGGTTTGTTTTACCTTCTAAGTATTTGCACACATGATCGTGTCTCACGAGTAATTACGATATTGCCCAATCATCTCATGTTATTGAAAAACACAAGTTTACGACAAGTCGATATAAATATTTGATGGCTTTACCCATTAATTTTACCCAGAAACGATACTTTATAACGTGATCTTCTTGTTTGAATAATAATTGCGTTTTATTCATTCCTTTGGCAAATTAGATATATAAAGAGAACTATCTCGCCAATCTTTTTCTTGCACCAACCTTTCCTTCGTAGTTGGACAAAGTATTACATCTCTAAAAATTCCCTAAAAAGTTTAATCTCTCGTTACCCATCTCTCGTCATTAATCTTTACTTCACGAATTTAATTCATATTTTTACCAATTTCTTTGACAAATTAGCTATTAAAGAAATTATCTAAAAACAAAAAAAGTATTTAACCAAAGTCGTTACTTTCCCACTTAACAAAACAGTTCGTTAGAAACCGACCCCAACTATTCACTACTTTATTTACACGGAGAGCGTTCTCCGCACTTTACGAGCCACCGTATGTCAAGATGAGTTTGCTCAACGTTTACGATGCTATTTCAAAAACTAGTAGAATATATCGATGGATCGCATGCAATCGTCCCTTCCATTCTTTTCCCCTCGCGTGACGGGGAACAACCTCACAACCACGTTCATACGATTTCACCATCTTTTCTTGTATTTTCCAATCTCGATAAATTATCTCGTAAAACTACTCCTCCTTAATTGAATCATCGACAATCGGATCGATTGCCGGGAAAATCGCAATTATCCAAAAGAAATAAGCGTAACGCGATTCCCCTTCGATCGACTTTTCCCTGATATTCGAAGGAAGAGAGAAGGGGGGGGGGAAGAAACACGAGGTTTGTTGAATAACTTGCCTCTCGGCCGAGACAAGTTTTTAATAAACACACGCAACGAGGAACGCCGTTCTATAGGAACAAAGGAACGTCGATGACCGGCGAAGCTCTTCGATGCGGTTTATTAAAGCCGATCTGGTTCCACGAGGCGCCACAGGTTTCCAGGAACGTTATGCAAGTGTCGCGCCAAGATGGAGAGGATTGTGGAAAGGAGGAGGTCACGGGGCCAACGATCGGTCCACCATCTCATCGTGCCAAGGTCTTCCTCGAGAGAAGAAAAAAAAAAAAAAAAAAAAAATCGAGGCGACCATTTATTCATGCATCCGCACACTCGCGACACTGTGCTCGAATACGAATGAAGTATTCCTCGTGTCGAAATCTTGTCTTGTTCCTTTTCGAGGAGATGCTTCGTCCGAGATTTCGTCGAGATGATCTCGGTCGAGATCGGGAATGATACGAGAAGGAGAGAGAAGAGAGAGAGAGAGAGAGAGAGGATCGTCTTCTCGATTGCGGCTTATTAAAAACAATTGTCGGTCGTGCTGCCTTGACACGTACGCTTTTGCAATTGTTTTATTATTTTCTTCTCTTTCTTTTTTTCTTTCTTTCTTTCGTGGAGAACAGTACGTTTCTTCGGATGTTTACTGTAATTGAATTCGATTGAGAGGATTGATGGGAAAAGTACGTCTTTGTTTTGAAAATGTACGAGAGAGCGTACGTGTGTATGTGTGTATAGGAAAGGAGCGTGTAAAATACGCAACCGCATTGTGAACTTGTATCGTGAGGAAAAAAAAAGGAAAAATTGATTTGTTGAAAGATTTGTTTGACTTTTACGAAAGATTTCCGCGAATCTGATCCGGTATGTAGTTTCTACGATTTCGTATTTTTAAAAATAAGCAAAAGGAAATACAAGATCCCCCGTTTAAAAACTTTTGTGAAAAGTAGCAGGATTCGTGTGAAAAATAAAACAGAAATTCAGATAAGTACGATTCGGAGCAACGATTGAATTCACGCGATATTTTTACTTGTATAGATATAATACAGCACAATATATCGGCGTTGCTTCAATGAAATTTACGTTTTCAAAAAATTAACTCATCGCATCGCTTTTCTTCTTCTTCGATTCACCACCAAACGCACGCGTAACGACGCACATACATCACGAAAATAAATAACATCTACTCACCGAAGAAGCTCCCCACCGCACAAGACACCCCAAGATCCGACACTCGAGTCCAGCGTCTCCTCGTTCGTCCTCGATCGGATCACAACAGATCACACCTTTCTTCCCTCCTTTCTTTCTCGTTCCCTTTGCTCCTTGTTCACTTCGGTTCACTCGCTCGGGGACCGAGCAACGGAAAAAAAAAAAAAGAACAAAAAACGCGACAGAAGAAAACGAATCAATGGGCGCGAACAACCGATAAATGCAACAGTCCTCCTCCTCTACACTCTTCTCCACCAACAAACGATGAACAACAAACAACAAACAAGGCCACGAGCGGCAGGAGGCCGGGCGATGTGTTGTCGAAACGTGGCGGAATTTTCAGTGTTGCCCCCCGAAATCGAGGATGTTCGATTCGTCAATGTCCTTCCTTCTCCACGCACCACCACGCACAAACACACGAGACGACGACGACGACGAAGGAGAAAGAGAGAGAGGCAAATAAAACACGGTCGATCGTGGAAACGTTATTAACACGGACGGGGGGAGGGAAGGGAGGGGAGATATACACGATATATATATATATACGACGTATATACGAGAGAAAGAGGGTACCCGGTTGTGCACGGCGCGACCGATCGTTTGGCCGCCGCGACGAGACGAGAAACTGTCCGCGTGTCCGAATGGCACTGTGGCTCGCGCGATTCTGCCGTCGCTCGCTTCCACCGACCTTAAAGGCCGGCCGCAAGCGCCGCGCCGCGACGCGCGCAAACGCCGCTCCCGCTCGCTCTCGAACACCGCACACACCGTGTGCCCCCTTATCGCTGCCCAAACATTCTGCTTTTCCTCGCCTTTTCCACCCTCGCCGCCCTTTCCGCCGGAATCGTTCGCCTGCCCCCTTCCTTCCCTCTCCTCCTCCTTCCCCCCCCCTCGCGGAGGAGGGAGCGCCAGGGTTGTTTTGATGCCGCGCTTTTGCCGCTTTTGAAGGTAGAAGAAGTGGGGAGAAAGGGGGGAAGGGGTGGAATCGCGGCAGGAGCGCGGGGCTTTTTTCGCCCCGATCGGTGGGCAGGGGGGAGAGAGAGAGAGAGAGAGGCTCTCTCTTTCTCTACTAGGCTTTGGGGCTTGTTTTTGCCGATTCGATACGCGCACGAGAGGGGAGGGTGGATGGAGAGGTAGGTTGTGTTGCGGGGATGATGTTTCGAACGGGGGAGGGGGGGTCGATACGTGGCTGCGAATCGAACCGAGTTGCTACAGGTTTTTGGAGAGGATTTTTTTGGAGGTTTTTGGTGGTGTTTAGTGGTGGTCGGGTTGTTCTAGGGAGAGAATTTTGTTTTCTTTTTTTTTTTTGGACAGAAGGGTGATCTTGGGAATGGTCGTCGCGGGTTTGATGGTTGGAGATATCGTTGATATTTTACTTCCGAGTTATTTTATCGAAATTGTTGATAAAACGAGTGGAGAGTTTCTAGGATGTAATGCGAGATGATTCTTCTTGAATGTTATCGTTTAAAAGGTAAAATCAATTCGTAAAATTTCATTATTTTTTTTTTTTTTAATTTACCTTTGTAATGATGAAGCGAAATTTGAAATAAATAGAATATTCAAGCTTTAGTACCTCATCACTTTTTGTAAAAAACATTCCCAAACAAAATGGGAATATTCAAGTCACGGAAAAAAAAAAAAGGAAAAAATTTTAAAAATTTGAAAATTAAAAAATTCCTGCGATTCGAAGTTCACTTGCATCAAAAAAAAAAAAAGAAAACGAAAATTTCACTCAAAACTTTCGAAAAAAATCATAAACTTCCATACACTTAAATCTATAAGTTATTCCTCAAATATTCTCATCATCGTTCAACCAAATCTCAAAATCAAAAATATTGCTATTTTCCCGTAACACCAAATAACAATCGAGGTCTATGAAAGTAAAAAATAAAATTCGAAATAAAAATTCACAACGCGAAATCCGGAATTCCAATCGTTCAAATCGACGCTTCAATTTTTTCCCTCCCCCTAAAAAAAAAAGGGAGGAAAAAAAAATAGAAAATATCAAACTTTCGAATCCCTCCATGTTATTTTGCACAGAGAGAGAGAGAGAGAGAGAGAGAGAGAGAAGAGA